ATACTAACTACAATACAAACTAACATCGTTAAAAAAAAATTTTTTTAATTAAATAAATGCTATCTGAAATTTAAGCCACCACTGACATATATATATATATATATATATATATGAGAGAGTGATTTATTTATAGTAACTACAGTATTTTGTGGCATAAATTAAAGTTATAATGGTGAATTTATAGCGGCGTTTGCAAACAATAATATAAATGATTTTATATTGAAATGCCGCAAATAAATGCACAGATGATACACTAAATTGGGACTTTAACTGAAAGCAATCAATCATGTTTTGATCAATTATATATAAATGATAAATATATTGGTACAAATTATAGGGAAAATAATTTAAATGTATGAAGATATTCTAAGTAGAATAAGCAAATTATGTGTATATATAAATTATGTATTAAAAACTGTATTTCCTAAATCCTTCTCCATGAATGGCCTCTTGACGTCGCTCACACGTCCACGCACGCGACGTCACGTCCATTCACACGCGCTGATTTGACGGGAATTACTCGACTTCCGGCCGAGGAGCAACACAAGAGACTTCCCTGCGGCGGCGGAGAGACACAATAACAAAGCCATGGGAGAAATGTCCGGCTTCGAGAACAGACTGCAGTCGTACTCGTCCACACAGCTGCACGAGCTGCTGGAGGACGGTGGCAAGCTCCGGGAAATGGTCGGGGAGATGGAGGAGGTGAGTGAGCGCAGAGGCGACAGCCGTCAAACGCTCATTTAATCCCGGAATAGGGCGAGAGTTTGTGCTGACAGTGAGTGCAGATGAGTGACAGGTGCTCGGGCTTTCATTGCACTGCTGCTGTCGCGGTTTGCGTTATTCTGTGGTGTTCTGGGACAGAGACCGTTCACCTTTGACTACCTCAGTATTGATTTATTGGAACGTGTTGTCGACTGAAGGAGTGGCTGGATAGTGTCAGACTTCAGAATGGAGGCAGTATATGAACTGCCCTCATAAAATAAAGACAAAAAGATGACTGTGATATAAAGACTGGTTAGTATGAACGGACTGCTTCTGTCAACGTCTTCTGGATTGATCAAGTTCAGCATCAGTTCAGCAGATTCTTTGCTAAATATAGCAATGCTGATGATAATCAATAATATGATTATTGGTTACTAGTGTTTAATGTAATTTTTTTTTTAGTCCTTTTAACTTTTCCCACTTCTAAAAATGTCAAATATGCTTTTTTAGATTATACAAATTATTATACAATATTTATTTTATTCATTTAATTGTAAATGGTTATGTGTATAATTATTTAAAAGTAAACATTTGCAATTACATGGAATAAATTATATATAAAAATTTAATATATTAATATTAAATTAATAGGTATTTATTTTAGATATATACTGTGTGTGTATATATAAATATATAAATCTCTTATTAAGCAGTACATTTTATTAAATTATATTGTAATTATAGGTCCTTTTAGATGGTTTGATTTTTTTCCCCCCATTTTGCATGTGCTGCAAGTAATCTTGCTTTGCATTATTAAATAGTTTAAAAGATCCTTGAAATAGACACTAATCATAAACTAAGTTTTCCATGCAGAATGAATGCAAGAGTTTCCATTTATACTGTATAACTATTTTGGTCATCTGTGTTTAAGGGGGAAAAAAATTAAGCATGATGATTTCAATATTGGGGTATTAGGGAAATAAGTCATTTGATCTAGGAGGCTGGAGTTTCTCTGGTTTCTGACTTTGCGCTCTTGTTGTCACAGATGCAGGAAATGCAGCAGAATAAAGAGCTGACGATCGCCAGTAACCGCAGCCTGGCGGAGCAGAACCTCAACCTGCAGCCTGAGCTGGACCATCAGAAGATCCAGCTGACCAAACGCTACTGCTGTTTACAAGATCTGCACGAGTCCTACCAGCTCCGCAGGTCCACGCTAGGTCAGA